CTGAAGGCTACTCTGCAAAGTGGCATATTAATGGGCCGATATTGAGGGCGACATGGTGTCACGTGTAACTGCACAGTTTTGGATTTTGTTGCATTGGAAGTGCTTCTGTAAGACTGGATCTTGTTGATTGTGTGACTGCGAAACATCAGGGAGCAATGGGTGATACTCAGAGTGAAGCTATTGATGGTGATGATGTTGATGAGTACACCGACATCAAAGGAGCTCTTCGAAACGATGGACATTCCGATGTGATCAATGACTTTGATTAATCCTTCTGGGATTCATTCTTCGCCGAAGCTGTTTGACCACTTTGTCACTCGGACGAACACACAGGCCTTTTACAAAACCAGCAAAGCAGAAGCAGGGAAGAAAGGAAGAGGAGGAGGAGTCGATGGAGGATCAATTGGACTGTGTTGGTGACAAACGCTATTCCAGGACTTGTAGGATGATCACCGTACCCATTCGTTCTTTTGCGGACCCTTAGACGCAGAAGGCAGGCACGACTAAGTTCTCCAACCACAATTGTTGGCAGACACTCGGATTCAGGCGGAGGGTACACGAGTACGCTGACTTGGAGTGAGTCATTATCTGCCCAACTCATCTCAGATTACCGAACGCCTCGTTTTTATATGCCTGGGGGGACAAGGTTAGAATGATCGACTGATAAGCATTGTGTGGTGAGTTGTGAAGTTTGAGTATAGATGGACATTGTTGAGTAGTGCTTTCGTTGAGATGCGATCAATCGCCTGATCGAGAAAACTGATCGGAGTTAATAGAATGGCACGATTTTTTGTAATTGATAAATTGGTCGAGATTTTTTAGCTGTCTTTCCGATCTGCTGTATCCTTCATTCGTTTTGGACTGAGATCAGATTTGGCCTTCACGAAGGTCACTGAATGACCTTAATTAGCAGATTGGTCACTTTACAACCAAAATCTGTACACGTTATACATTCTACTGGCTAGTATTTTTGAGGGTGTAGAATACCAGAGCCCTAATTGGAAAAAAGACTGGCACAACAGAACAGGCTTTATTGGCCAATCACAAGCCAGAGCCTCACGTCAGGCGCCTTCCATCCGAGTCCACCGCGCTGGCCACGCCGCTCATTATATACTGCATCACATCCATGTCCTTCGCTGGTTGGCTGCCTTTTTTTCCCGCATGCCATTGGATCGCAGAGAGACACGGGATTGGCTGAGGCCAGGTGGTCCAACATGTCTGCGCCCTAATCCGACGCCACACCACACATGTACACAATTAAAGTAGTCACACTTGTTTCTTAATTGATGTCACACGGGTGAACAGTTTACCGTAAGTAGTTTATCAATGCTTACGCATCTGCTAATTCAGTGGCCTTCTCTGAACGCCTGCATAGTTTTCAATTTCGAATCGCAAGCTTCGGCGATCCATTGTCAAGAGTGCAGTTGAGGTCAACCGAATATTTAGCACTGGGATCATGTTTACTCTATTTACCGCTACGTGTTTTCTTGATCATGCGATTGACTGTATCTCAGTGATAGCACTTCGCAACGCTCACACCATGTCCCTATTCACAATTCACAACTAAACACGAACTCCACCTTCTTCTTCTTCATCACAATCTACTCCGTCTTTACCTTTTTATGCACTGGACGTGTCATCTCATATTCTTTCTTATCTTCAGAAGCTTTGCAGACGTCTATGTCTTCAACAACACTTATTTTGCCTTATCAACACGGGTTTCGAAGAAAAGTCATGTCTGCGCTGACCGAAAATCAGTCCACATTTGGCGCTGTTACGCGTCTCCAGCCACCCTACCATTCGACATCTGCCACATTCCACTAAGTAGTTCAGACGACAACCTCTTACGTGAGTTGAAATGGTCAAGACGCCATTACGTTCAAGCTTCCTGGAATGTGGTCATTTATTTGACAACTGTGGGCTCCAATGGCTCGTGGGCATTTCTGTCGGAATTGGCCGGGACGATCTATGGCTTCAGCTGCTACACTAGATGGCATTTGTGCCTCAATCTGTGAGACCTGTCATGTCTCGCAGAACGCTGTAAGGAATCATGATTCAGTAGATGCTGACAGGTGAAGTTGCATCTTGTAAAGTAAACGACTCTACAATCAGTTGGAAATCGTAATTGTCACATGAATAAACAAATCGTTATATTTTGGCTCGAGTTGCGAGCTAATCACTGGCACATCGTAATGCTCTTCCATGAAACGCCGTTGATAGAATTGTCTCAGAATCGATTGGCAATGATTTCTTGATGGTCGAAGAAGAGAAGAGGAGGGAGTGGTCAGTTGGACGTGTCAAATTAGTCAATCTAATCTGACGTTGACGACCTCAACGACCGTGGAATACGTCGAATGTGGTAGTTTATAATCCAGGCATTTCAGCTGCCATCTAGTGCCGAAGCTGGCGTGGCCTCAGTTGACGTCGAGGACCGGCAGATTCTTGGGTTAATTAGACAGGCATATGGTTTGCGTAGGCGTCCGGGAAGCTTAGAAGGATCTAGGTTCTTCTTCCTCGTGGACATCTACGCCCGAAGCGCAATGATGAAGACGTGCGATTCATCAAATCAACGCACGACTCTAGCGTCACTAAACATATTTGATGGTGAACCACAGTCTCTTGATGGGTCGTGTGTGCGGGTAACATTTGCAAACCAATTCTACGTACACTACAATTGTGACCGACACCAAGGTGGTTGCGTTCTCAGCTGACGTGACCCACGCAATCCAAATAACCCACGGATGGAGTCGGCTCTTGTGTACTTTTATGCTAATACATGCATTGGCCGTGCAGTGTTTGTACTCACCTCAGATAGGCGAATTATAAATTGTCCTTCAATTTATGGTGGTTGTTGGTAGTGTTTTTGAGTGGAATATGATCTAGCCTCGTTAACATCTATTCGGCAACTGTTTCTCATGACTTTGAAAATTGCAATTCTTGCACTTAACATCATCCTTGTCATATGAGCGGCATGAATTGCGGTAGAATCGCTCATTTTTCATGCCAGCGCCTTTAATAATTGGTAACCCCTACGCATACTGCTTTTTTTGACGACGTTCCTAACCTCTAATGTGTCAATGGGATAACAGTTTGCCCAATGTCGTCACACCCTACTACAGGAACAGTCTAAGAATGCGGAGCTGTAGATTTGCTAGTGAATCGTTCGCACTTTGGGATGCAATTGTGATTTCTGGAATGGTTTTCTCCCCGCCTAGTAGTCCACGAAACACAACACGACTTGAGACACCCGTTTTAGAATGCCAACGTCCCTAATTCAGGATGGCGATTTCTGGAAGTAGACAGCTACTGCTTCAACAATTCAAACGTCGCTTAGCGGAACTATCACTTCGAATCGTCTGTTAGGATGCGGCAGTACTGACGACATGGAAGTCAAAGTGTGTGTTATAAATGACTCGAAAAATTTGGAAACGTCGTCATGGCCACACGAATTGACCCAGCAATTTCTGTCTTACCGGCAGGTGTTTTGAGAAAATCGATGCACCTGTCAAATTGCATCTATTCGGTGACATAGTCGTTGCTAGAGGAGGATGTAAGGGGTTTGAGCAAAATCGTACGTAGATGTGGTGGTGGCTGTGTTGCAAAATCACTAGTCTCTTATCACATACAGACGGCTAGCGAGTCATTGCGTGTTAAACTGATGGCGACTTATGTCACCTAACCTAAAACAACACCAGTAAGGGTGACACAGCTACGTATTTTAGTCCAATTTTGCTTCATCCGTCTACTTCTACAAAAAAGTGCCTTGTTCCCACTGTAGCACCCGAGGTAATAGCCATTGTGTCAAGAAGGCGATGACTCAATGTTATGTGCACGTCGTTCATGCCAATTGAAATGCAGCTTTTTCTACAAATATGTGTACTGAATGAATTGCTCCTGCTCAAGTGAGAACGACTCATTGCATTTGGGACACGATTTCTTACCATGAAGTCTAGCTATGTGAAATTGCATGCGCAAATTTGATGTTGTTTACTTCCGTGTATTGACAATTTTTGATGTGACATGCAAGTTTGCTCAGGCAGAAATTATGAGCATATCTGAATCACCAACAATGACAACGTTAGTTGAAACAGGAAATGAGGAAGATGGAAGACTGCTTAAGCTAAAATCCTTGATTGGGATAAACGTGGAAGTGTGTGCAGCCAATCCTCAGTCGTTGTGCGTTAGAATGGCATGCGTAGAAGACCAGCAGACAAGCAATCTTGTCTCCAGTGACTGACCTGCTTCAGACGAGCCTAAAGAAGCAAACACCCACCAGGCAGTATAAAACAGCATTTCAAGTTGATAGGCTTGCTCTCGCGTGTGTCACAAGTTTGCCCCAATGGAAGAAGAAAACAAAGCGTGTTTTGCAAAGTGGACATTTACCAGACTACTGTCGATGCATTCCTACACCAAGAGCCTGACAATTTTCTTTGGGTACGGACATCAGTGTACCACTAGAGCATATTGTATTTTCATCACCAGTAAGAGTTGCCCACAATCGTGGAAGCTACCTCAGCAACAGGTAGGTTCAATGCATTTCCACTGACCTTGTTAATTAATCAAATGAAAAGGAACGGTAAACGATGAGTCTACCCTCAACTACCTCCCGTACTCCCAATGTTCCCTTAACGATCATTTCTGTATTGCTTGTAGGATTTTTCTGCAAAAATTGTTCGATGCAATTAATTGATATTTCAATGTTTTGATTAAAAGGATTTGCTCAGACAGGTAAGCTGAAGGAATTTATGCCTCATTCCACATCAGTTAGGATTCAATTGATTGCGTTTTGGCTCAGCACCGTTGTATCATTAGAGATGCCTACAAATTTGCTGCTTGTTTAAAGCTATCACAAGGAAAAGCTGTGCAAAATATCTTTAGGAACACATTTATTCGGAGACAAGGATAATTATTGGCATTTTTGTGTAGGGTTGCGAAAGTACTGTGGCAACGGTTGTGGGTCTGCATGAATTGATATCTCCTGAGTAATTAAAATGGCAGAGTTAGATCAAACAGGAAGTAAGGAAGATGGCAGACTGTAGAATGAAGATGGGCGATAGGATCGTGGAAATGGAGGTGGTCGACTGGCCAAGAATTGGATCGCTGCTGCATTGGTTTCTGTGGCACCCGTAACCATCTGGGCACTTACTGCAACTGGGTCCAGGTTCGTAGGGGTTGTCATCGTAGTTAAGGTCACTGCAAACAATTGTACTTGGAGTTAAGTAGTGCCTGTCTATTGCCTTTAAATGAAATCGGCTTAACTCACCTGGGTTTGTACATGCAGAGCAGCAGATGTGTGGATTTTCCAAGACCTTTCTTCGTGTTGCATGTCGCCTCAATGCATCCAACTTCCGTCGATGTCGCCCACACCATCTTGACAACACGACGCACAATGCAGAGTTACCAAGTCAATTTAAAATGGTTGTTTCATAGAGCTTATGAATGTGCAGTCTGAATGCTTGATATGCCCCCTATGTGGCACTTTATTACCACTTGCTACTTATCATTAAATTAGCAGAATTTGGAAATATTTAGGAAGGATAGTTGCTAGTGATGATAGAAAGAGAGGTCAGCCTCACCTGCCTGTAATTATGACAATCGCCATTGCAACTATTCTTTTTTGGGCTGAAAGATGTGCTGTTTACTCTGCACAGGTCGTGAAATTTGGGTCTCACGTCTTGTGATGACATCGTAACAATACCGACATTTTGGTATTCTGGATCTGATTCTTGAAAGGGTTCTTCCCAGTAGGTGAGCGATCCCTCCGCCAGCTTTTCCATTTCCAGTGAGTACTCCTAAATGTGCAAAGACACGGGCGGAACGATAAACTGCCTCATATAAAACTTGACTAGCAAATACTGAAATGAGTTTAGATCAGGGCATTTTCACGTCTGACAGGCCTTCACGACTACTTTCTTTAGCGTCCCACATCGGTTGAGTTCGAGGTGAAGCAAATTAAGCATACGGCAGTGCAAGATGAGAGCAATAATAATGATGAGCATACCATAAGTCGCATGTTGGTGGCAGGTGGCTGGACGTTTTCTCGCAGTTTCGTGTGGCACTCGATGATTGCTTTGCGTTCTTCCGTCGACGGAACCTTGGCCTGCACATTCAGCGATGACGCCAGCGGCAGCAGCAGCAGCAGATAGATTAGCTTGATCATCATTTATGAACTTCGAAAATGTCAGCGAATACAGTTGAAACGCTACCGGAGGACTTGCATCAAACTGAGAATGTGTTTGCTGCGTTTTTATAGTTGCCTGCGAAAACAACTAATTAAGAGGCGAAATCCAGCGTGGCAGCAAACACCGTCTTCTTACTTCCGCGAGAGTTTTTAGTGGTTTTGTTTGTTGATCCTATATTGAGAAATGCCATGAACAGTGGTATACAGCTTCTACCATGTTCTTTGCCCTTTACAAGATATTGTAGTGATTAGAGGCTTAGCACTACCTTACAACCCTCTAGTTAACAGCCCGTTACAACCCGAGATGAGGGGAGAGAGGAGGCGACAGGGAACACGACCGTTTATTAGTGTCAAACCAGCCAAGTGGCTTCGTGCGCGTATGATTACGCGTGCGTAACAGGCGAATGCTGACTGGGGCCAATAACAAAATGGGTGAGTCATTATTCCACTCGGACCCTCTTCCACGCATCACTCACGCGAGGTGGCTGTTAGTCCACTACAATATCGCTTAATTTATTAACATCTTTAAATATGTAGAAAATCAAAGTGCCCCTCATCCACATTTAGTTAAAGTTTAACTCTGAGTACCGCAACCGCACATTTGACTGATACCAATAACGATGCCCTCGCTTTATGTCTGTTCCAATAATTTTTTTGATAATAAACAAGTTGACAGCACTACTTTTGTATTTTTTACATGAGGTTTTGGTTATTTTGACATGCTAAAGCCAAAAAATGCCCAACTTCACCGTGGATTTGCACAAAATGTCACTTTGTTTTTGTTTTAATCAGTCATCGGTTTGTTACCATCATCTAAATCTTTTTTCAGTATATTTGCTTTCCGTGAAGCTGGTTAAGTTGGCAGAAAAGGTCCTCCTTAGCTACAATGAGTAAACGGTTATCGAAAGTTTTTACTGTCAATCGACTTATCAGTAATAAATAGTCGTAAATTATTGCTAACAAACAATCTCGTTGGGAGTAGACAATAATATTAATTTATGGCCTTCTGTACGTGTCACTCTACGAAAAAGTTACCACCTTCTCTAGGCAGTTACCTAAAATTGTGATGATATTATTGTTGAGGTATTGAAAACAACATCCATAAATTGCAAATAAAAAGTTATCGTGTAAAAGTAGGTCAACGTGGCTTATTCTAGGATAATTTGTTATTGGGGCTTCCTTGTGTGCCATTGTCTTGAAGGGGAGAGATTAATGGTGAGATGAAGAACAAGCTACCCAGGATTGAAGTGCTAGGGGTAGAGGAAGAGGGGGATACTAGTTATGTTTTCACGCGAAAAAGAGGGCAACGTCACGTGACGTCACATTATATAACTACCTACAGTCTGTTCAATCCAACATTTCAATAAAACCTACCCATAGTGAACTTGTTGAGGCATTTAGCATGAGAGCGTGCGTCTGCAATCGACGGTCATTGAAATTATTCAAACATGTTACAGACCTTTGTGCATCTACATTGAAACGAAAAAGTCAACAGACATCTTAATTGCAATATCACCATCGCGTGCCAACTACTCTCAACGGCAATCAACTTGTCGAGAGATGGACACTAATGGTTTCCTAACGGCTGCGTTAGGTGACACAACGCGCCATCAGATTAACGCTCAGTGACTTGCTAGCCGTGTGTACGTGACAATAGCCTAGGGATTCTGCGACACAGCCACCGCCATATTTACTTCGAGTTTGCACATGATAGGGCAGCAGAATGGTGGTGTTGGTGCTGTTGAAATACCCAAATGAAGCAGCCAGAAATCGCAACTCCCAACAGGTTATTGTGGAGAGGTGGGTCGATGTGGCTTGTTGTCAGCCAGTTCCAATCTTATTAGTTATTGATGATTCCTTGGGTGCCACCGCTTTGAAAGGTGAAAAATGTGAAATTCAGTTATCTATGTGATAAAAATTGGCACTCACGAATTGGAAAACACCCAAGTAAATCCTGGATTCGGCAGGTCTTTCGGCAGTGAAATAAAGTCCCGCCTTGGGAATTCTTGTTACGTATGGTTGTTGACGTGGAAACGAATGCCAGGTAATGGAATGTAAGCACTTGAGCACAACTAAGTCGCATTCTGGTAACTCCTAATACGCAAAAAATTCCTAACATTGAAAGGCGTGTCAACAGACTAGACCAATAGCAACGGAAAACATCTAAGTAGTGCCTGGATTCCATCTTTTCCGCATTTATTGACACAGAAGTGATTGTCATGAATTGTTAACATAACTTCAAGTGGGTAATAGTAAAAAAAAATACACAATGATTGTAACTAAGTTCGAAGGTAGGTGCTAGATTCAGAAGAGGAGCGATGATTGTAACTAAGATAGAATGTAGGATCGGTGAATTCCTTGGGTGTCGTTGTAAGCCAAATATCCATGCAAGAAACTCTCCACTATGATAGCTTAATTTTGGAAGAGTTGCAATACATGGCTATTTGTGACTTATAACTGACCATTTTACATAGTTCAATTTGAACAGTAAAATTGGAACTAGGAAACAGAGGACGAAGCTGTCAAAAGAAATTCTGACATTTCTCGACACCGCGGGAACATTTTATTGAAACTTACCCGTGCTGAACTTCATGAGCCATTTAGTATGCGGCCGTACTTGCATAATCCACGGTAGTCAAAATTATTTAAACAGAAACACAGGAGTTTTTAGAAAGCAGTATACATTATATACACACTGAGACACCATCAAATAAGCCGAACTCCAATTCCTTAATTTAATAAAAATTACAGTTAATGAGCACATAAAGGTTTAAAAACGCAGTAAAAGAATTCATTCTTCCTCACTCAATAAAAAATATTAAAAACGACAATAAAAACAATTCAGGTTTATATAATTGCAAAACGGGATAAAAAATCCTTAAAAAGCGGATGTTCACAGTGGAAGTAAGGTTAAATAGAGGCTACACTTATGCGCATCATTTTAACTGATACTTAAATGAAAAAATTAGAAAAAAAATTTTCAAAAAAATTAAATTAAAAATGTAGTTAAATTAATGAAAGAAGACCTGCTGATTACTTGGAATTTTGCAGCATAAGTATGCATTGATAGTCCAGATTTCTAATTAGAAAATCCAAGTTAAGATTAATAATTTTATGTTTATTTAATTATAGCAAGTTTTTTTCAAACCTAATAAAGTGTTTAATTCCCCGGACAATTGATATTCATTAAAATTTTATTTGTAGGAATGCGCACGATTTGCGCTTGGTTTGAATAATTGGGGAAAGTTATGCTTGGGTTTCGTCCTGATAACTGATTGTTCTTATTGACTGTCAAACTTCTTTCATTTTCTTTTGGAGTATTTAACTTTTGCTCATCTGCATATGTAAGTGTGTTGAAAAATTTTACGAGCACGTCTTTTAGTGCTCTTCAGTTTTGTTTGATCAGATTTTTTTGCACTACTTTTTACCTTAGAAAATTGATCAAATTTCATTTTGTCTGTGGCACTTGTGTGGATATGTTTTGATCGCCGTTGTAGTAGACAATGCAACCCTCACTAACAAACACACCCTGGTTTTTATTATAAACTCCAGACTGTTTTGTCGAGGTTTTTTTATTCAATAAAGTATACTGGAGGCATCAACAGTATTTGCTTTTGGTCAGCGATGCGGGTGCTTTCACTTAAGTTGACTATTTTGCTCAACCCATATGTATCTTTTTTCTGTTTTACAAGAGCTTTGCTTTTGCTTGGTAGCTTCTTCAAATATATTAGGGGCAGTGATATTCGTAATTTAAACTAAAGTTTAATTTTATCCTATCGACTATTTGGCACTTCCGCTCAAAAATCAGTCTTTGATCTTATTTGATGGCCTGATTTAGCTTTGCCACTGATTCCTAAACGAAGTTTAGGGTATTGCTAGTTTCACATATTGTCCACGCCTAACACCCTTCCTTATTTGCCTTACTGTAGTTAATGGCTGAAAACGAAGTTTATCCGGAGGAAAGCTCCCTCAGCGATTCGGAAGATTTCTCTGATGACATAGACAACGAGTTTTTTCGTGCTGTTGACGTTGAGGAGTCGAAGGAGGCCCTACTAACTGAATTCGTTGTAGGTTATTCAATATAGATGGTGTGCGCTCAGATTTCATCCGCCAAATTGTATTTTGCCACGGTCTGCCGCTTAAACCTTTGAACTTTTTGCTATATGGGCTTAAAAATCTTTGTATACGTGACTTTAGACAATAGCTCGCCTCTCTTTCAAGTTAGGCCTCATTTCGCCTCTTCTAGCCCCTCACTCCTGAGATGCTGATTGAACATATGTTGGAATTGGTGAATGCCGTCAACCAAGTCACCGATCTACCCAAGACTCTCATTCGCATGTTGCTGGAGCATTACAGGTGGGACAAGGATGCTCTAATCGAGCAGTACTTTGAGCACAATCGCCCTCGACTGTTTGCTAGTGCCACAATCATGCCCTCACTCATACACGATGACAATGATCTGCCCTGCCTCACCCTCCGTTCTTATTCAGACGTTCATCATGGTGAGCCTTGTTCCCCTCTGTTTCCAAACTAAGTCATTTACCGCGGAATCTAGTTGTGAGTGGTATTTTTGTATATTATTCAGATTGTCATGGAATGACTAGCGTGCGGTATGGTGATTTGATCAAATTTTGACTAGAAAGTTGCAACAAAACATCGTAACATGTCTTGACACTTTACGGTGACCCCTCGCCAGCTCATCCGAGCGCAATTTCATTCCTTCTAGCTATTCGCTATTAGGCGTTTCACTACTGTAGCAACCTTATTGCGCGCATCTGTGTGTGTGCGTGCATGCGTCTGTGTTATTAGCGCATTGTTTTTTTTTTGCATTTCTTCCTTTTGGTTGGCTGGCATTCAAGGTCGCGTCAGGCCCTGCAAAACATGTTTCCCCTTTCTGTGTGTTGCTAATTTGATCTGCTCCTGGGAATCACGTGATCGCGTGTTTTGCACCTTACTGACGTCGTCAATTGCCCTGGAAAATTCTTTCGACTTGAATTAGGAATTCGTTCATGGCGGGAGAATAAACGATGCTCATTGGTTTTCACCAAGGTCGGTTAAATGTAGGGTCGTGAAGTTCCGTTGTGAAACAACTGAAACCAATAGAGTTATTGATTAGAAAATGTTTGGGGTTTTGAAGTGTAGCAAAGGTTACAGTGCTAGGACGTCCATAATTCGTTTTTGTTGCTGTCATCATTCAAATGCATGCAGTACTTGATATTCACAAATGCGACGGAGATTTTAGTCGAATACGGCACGATGTGACACAGAGAATCAACCGTTTATTCGAGAGTGTTGTGGGGCGTTTACGTATGTGTATTTACAACTCATATGTGAAACAGCGTGAGTCCTTCTGTGTACTATTCCAGGACAAACATTTACGCTAATGAGCTGACAGCATGCTGTTAAGAGTACCGTCGACGTGTCGGAGAAGGGAGCGGCCAGATTAACCATCGTGGAGCACCACGATTCACAATACTATTATCCTTGGTCGTACAGGGCGAATTCGTGTCATCCATGTTGGTATCACTGCTCAGTTGCAAACCAATGTGGAGTTGCATTACAACATCGGGCACTAGAAACGTCAGTCAGTCACTAGTTTCCCGCAACCCGCACTGGGCAGTCGTGTTCACAATTCGCGTCTTAAGGTCACGTGCGTCGCGCTCCAATTTCTTTATCTTGTGACGTCAACACGATCCTGATTGGCTGTTCTAGGCATAGATCAGTTTAAATCCACGGTGGATCGACTACCACGTAGTTTGTGCTGATCTTGTTCGTAGACGTAGTGCTCTCCTGCCAAATCTGCCTAATGGTTAGATTTATTGGCATGTAGCCTTGTTTTTTTGTGACTTGAAAACAGCTGTTTCTTTCTGTGCCATGTATTTAAATCTGGCCAATATCGAACCTCACGGCAACACTGCTGGCTTTATCACGTCGGTTAACAGTGTGTTTTAGTGTGTGAATGAGTGAACGCCATCATCTATGCGGAAAATCGATCGCCGTGCCAAAACTGTCTTGTAGGAGATCTTGACTCGCAACGAAACGACTACCGTTTGGTGTGTTACTGTGATATCATCGTCTGACGTTTGTGGTCACGTGAAGCGTCAGAGGCAGTGTGGGTTATGGCTAGTGATTGCCTCACCGTGGTTACGGCAAATGTCGGTGTTACACTCTCCAGGCCAATAGGCGTGAACACTTCTTCCCAACGCATCATGCGTTATGCTTGTTTTGATCTTATACCAAGTAATCATTTGAACATCGATCTTTCTCTCTGGTCGAAATAACGTCAGTAGTCTGAGTTCTCTCTTGAGGCTTTTTTTCTCAGCGTACCAATTTACTTGAGTGACCCTCAACAGCTCGTTCAAGGGCTGGAGGGGTTTGCCGAAATGCGTGAGATGCAATTTGGCTTTTGTTTTGTTACGCAAAATCGTTACTGTCAAGGTGTCCCGACGTTGGGGCATCTTGGAATGTCGACGATGACATACATAAGCAACTTTAGGACTTAGTCACGGTTCTCTTCAATCCTGTGTCTGGGCATCTTCTAGAGGTTTCTCTTATTTAACTGCAACCTGCATGATCCTCACCTTCTGCTGATGCTTCGTGATTGTCTTTGAGTGGTAGCTGATTTGTGTCAGGCGTGATTGGCCTCATTGGAGCTAAAGTCTCATTGGTTGGATCGTGTTGGCTGGACGCCGACACGTTGTTCTTCGGATCGACGGCACTTGCGCCGACAGAGGCGCCAGGGATCATACAAGACTCCTCTGAACCCCCGACAAAAATGGGCGATCACGTTGGTGCAAATTAGTGGTGTTCCTAACGTTAACTTTTTTTTGACGACGTCGTAGTTGCTCGCGCTTTGAGTTCATGGTTATCTCCACGACTTGTCTCCGTGCTCTGTTACCTTCCTTGGTTCAATTGAATTGCAGTGGAATTGGAGGTGTCTTCACTATCGCCCCTTGACTTCTGTAAGAATTCAGTCCGGAGAAATGTCAACTGCGTTTAATCTGCTTACGCCATCTTCAATCCTCCTTGGAATTGTTCCACAAAGGCTTGATATTGTACCTGGGGTCGTTCGATGCTTTGAAATCTTGCGTTCGATCCCTTCAAAACCACTAAAAATATTTCCATTTTAAGTTCGAAAAAAAAAATTCAGTGCAAATTAAGTATGACTTGACGTCGATTTAACACACATGAACTCCTGCCAAGTACTTTCCTTTGCACACAACCACTTGTTTGCGTGCCGTGGCGCTGCAGTCACACTAACCAATCAGCACGCGCTTCCACCGTGTCCTCAAATGTACTTTTAGCACGCTGAATGTCTTCTCCCTTGTAGATGCCAAATCCTCGTCCCTTTCAGAAATGGTCTGTGATATTTGCTGCGTGTCTAGCCCTCCCAGTGAGTTTGACCTTCGTTCGTACTTTAGGCTAAATTGCTCTTCCTTTTCGTCAAGTCGAGCGTACTTTTAAGGTGAGATGCTGGGCCTAGGCTGCGGCCACTTCTTCTGCCGTCCGTGTTGGCTCAGCTACCTGCAGTGCAAGATCATGGACGAGAACCAGGGCAGTCGACTGGCGTGTCCGGCGTACCAATGCGAGAACCTCATCGCCGACGAGAGCGTCACCGACCTCCTGCTGACCTCCACACAGGAAATCCACCGTCAGCGCGTCTACCGACGCTTCCAGAAGCTGGTGGTCAACTCCTTCGTCCTGCAGAACCGCTCGCTAACCTGGTGCCCGGGTGTGGACTGCGGCTACGCGGTGCGTGCCGTCTCGGGCTGCGTCGGTGACCAGGTCCGCGAGGTCGTCTGCGCCAACTGCTCGGAGTGCTTCTGCTTTGCCTGCGGCAACCCCTGGCACGAACCAGTGCTCTGCAAGTACCTCAAGCGATGGCTCAACAAGGTGCGACTTGTAAATTCATGCGAAAATTAATGCCCGCCGTAAGTCAGTTCAGGTGACTGTGGATTGGACGACGCGGATCGATAGGATGGAAGTTTTGGGGTGTGTTTTGCAATCACCTTTGAGTCTTCCTACAATTTATCGTGAATTCCATGGTAAAATCTGTTACTACGCAAAATGTCCATCCCATTGATTTGCATGGGTTTGTTGATTGGTGATCGCTGATTGGACTGTTGATTATTGACTGTTGATTGGACGACGCGGATCGACATGATGAAGGCTGTTGGGCGTGTTTTGCAATCACCTTTGAGTCTCCCTACAATTTATCGTGATTTCCATGGTATAAGTATGTTATTGCGCAAAATTTCCATCTGATAAGTCTTAAGTAGTTATGTGTCGGGAGTGGTCTCTGTCGCGTTTCACGGATGTGTCGGAAGTTTGAGAAATCGCAGGCCTAAATTTCATTGATGGCTACCATTTGGGCGTAGGACGGAATTTCCACGCCAGCTCGTAGAAAGTTTGTGCGTTCGCAGTTGGGATCAGCAATTGCTGGTAGTCCATCACGTCTTGTTGTGGGCCCCAGCATGTGGTCTTGAACCACGCCGGGGCCAAGGAATTAACCTTGGCCCGATTACGTTTCCCTGGTACCCGCGATGAAGAGAACGACTGGAGAGGACGTGGACACAACCGTTTACTTCAGAGCTCAATCACATTGGTGTCGTTGCGTCGTGTGTGGGATTTGCGCGTGTGTATTTATGCCTCGGATGTGTGAGTCATACATGCATTAACGTCGAGACCTAGGTGTGACGATAATCCAAGGTAAATATCAGTGTGAATGAGGGGGAGTTGAGGATCCGCGCGGCTGGCAACATGCTGCGACAAAGGGAACCCTGTGTAGGAGGTGGAGCTACCGGATTAAGGGGTGTGAATAAACAAGAATCACAACAGTCTGCCACGTCAGAGTCACCAAATCATTAGCAGCAAGTTGTAATGTACCTACTACAGATAGTATTAGGCGACTTGGCTTCGTCGGATGATTTCAAAATCGCATGCGTGATTTCCCTTGGTGACAGAAGTAGGCAGGTTCGACGTTAGAATCCATCGTAAGCGTTCGATACTGTTTCAGGTGGAACAGGACGCAGGCACGTCGCACTGGATCGCTGCCAACACAAAGGAGTGTCCAAACTGCAAGGCGACCATCGAGAAGAACGGCGGCTGCAACCACATGAGCTGTCGAAACGCCGACTGCAAGTACGAGTTCTGCTGGGTGTGTCTGGGGAGTTGGGACTTGCACGGCTCCCAGTGGTACGTTTGCAACAGCTACAAGGAGTCCACCGCGAAGCAGGCTCGGGAGGCGCAGGACGCGAGTCGGGCGGCGCTGTCGCGTTACCTCTTCTACCACGACCGCTACGCCAACCACGAGCAGTCGCGTCGGTTCGAGAAGAAGCTCTACGAGTCCGTGCAGAGCAGGATGGTGGAGCTGGAGAAGCAGGGCATGTCGTGGATCGACGTGAAGTTCGTGAAGCACGTCGTGGACGTGCTGTGCTCGTGTCGACGCACCCTCATGTACACCTACGTCTTCGCGTACTTCCTCGAGTCGAGCAATCAGTCACTGATCTTCGAGGCTAACCAGAGCGACCTCGAGCAGGCGACGGAGCAGCTGTCGGAGTTCCTGGAGTGGGACTTGAGCACCGCGACGCTGGTGGGGCTGAAGCAGAAGCTGCAGGACAAGTCGCGCTACTGTGAGCAGAGGCGCAAGGTCCTGCTCGAGCACGTCGCTGAAGGCTACGAAAAAGACCTCTGGACTTACCGTGTCAACGTCTGAGTGATTCTTCCCTCTCCCTGTTGCCTTGTACAGAACCGATTGTGTGTGCGTGCGTGCGTACGTACGTGTATATTTTATCGCTCATTCTACTCCCACTTGACCCACCTATTTTGCTCTCTTAACCACTCATAATACTCCTCAACTATGGTCATTCCTGTTGATGCTGTGCTGCTTTATCATTGCGTATCGTTGCATTGTGCTTATAACTATGATGGATTATTTGTTACCTCCTTTGTATTCTGCTTGTGACCTACGGCTTGGGTGAGTGATGAGGAATGCCAAGAGGGGCAACATCTACCGACACCTTTCACGTAGCGAGAATCTGAACGAGTTCATAATTGTGCAGTGGGGGAGAGCTACTACCAGACTTTGGATAGCGTCAGAGGGTCCTCCACAAGAAACGCCTAGACGTCCACAACCTCCTTACCGGCTGACTATAGAGGTTTACGTTGATGCGAAGCCGAACGACGACCAAATCGACGCACACACGAGCCAATCAGACTCTGACTTCAGTCGTGCTAATAGCACCTTCGGTCAGATCGCTCGTTGGTGACTTCATGCACCAATCACTGATTAGCAGGCAGATCGAAGGATCTACGTCATGCATTGGATTTGCTTTTGTAAAATCCCAACTGCTTTGATACACTTTAGTCCAATTGTAGATTACATTAAGTCAGACTTAACATTTTAGGTAATGATAGGTTGAGTAGTTATGCCGTTGGCTGGAGGACCTTACAGTTGATTGGTTAAACAGCAGCCAATGAGGTGTGGGCTGTTCCCTACACAAACCGATGTCGCCAAGAGGCCTTCTACGTACTACCCTGCTTAACTATTTCCAGATTGTCTATTGATTTTATTGGATGCAGCCAATATTGTTGGGACTGAGTACCCTAGTATACCAACCAACTAATTCACCAAGACGTGACAATGGTCCAATCAACTCCCCATCACTTGATTGGTTCACCAACAACCAATCACGCTGTAGGAATATTTTCGAACGATTTTGCTCAAATTAAAGCCAGTGTTATTTAAGGGTCGAAAGCCACACCAAGTCGTTTTAAAACGGATAAAAACTTCGTGTTGGGGTGCGTTAACTGGCCAACACTCAAACCTAATCGCATGGCCAATGGGAAGTGAGAGAGAGGAATGGAGCAGCCACACACAACGAGTTCTCACGTGTTTAACGTCGTAAATTGACTACACTAAAGATTAATTCAGCACACAGGGGACCCAGCTACCGGTGTCTTGTCGCCGAACTCTATGACACCCTGCCTCACATTCAACCAACTCAAACACAGACAGAAAAGTCGGCAAAATGTATTTATCAAGTGTACAAGTTGAAGCCACCGGCCTAGCCCTCCACTGGGTTGGGAATTCGTTCGAAGACGGAAATAGTCGCCCCACGACCCTCCCGGGCCGCTTTCTTGCCCTCCTCCGTGACGCCGGCAGCCAGAAGCCCAACCAAGGAGTCCTCCGCGGAAGCCTTCTCCACGCCATCTTCCGCCGGCAGCTCAAGGTGGTGGCATTCTCGAAAGAGCGGATGGGCCCTCAGTTTGCTGGCCATCCACTCCGCGAGGTCGGGCACGTCGGTCATGGTGTAGATGCGTCCGCCAGGTCGCAGGTGGTAGGCGTAGATGGTGAGCAGGGCTAGACTGATGATGCGCCACTTGTGCTTCTGTCTCTTGAAGTGGGGGTCGGGGTAGAGGAAAAACATCTTCTCCAGCTGTCCCTTAACGCGAAGAAGATAGACACAAGAGGTGGGAGTGTGCTTCGACCCAATCGGTACAAGAAATTGTGGACGGGCAGATATTACCATGGGAGAGTTCTGGACACTTATAGCTTACTTTTCAGGATTCACATTTCACCAGCACCGATGATCGGTTTTCGAAAGGGGACAATTAAATTATGCTCAAAAGCACGTCGCAATTATTGATTGATTGTGTTACGGGATATTGTTCCAATTCGTGTCTATTTGGTTATCATCAATATCAGAAAGTCGGTCAACGTTGAATAGAATTTCCCAAACCAATTCTTGCGCATTTGGTCAGTTGAGGTATCAACACGATAGGCTCCACAGTCTGGCAAATTACGTTCTAGTAGGCCAATGGTTCAATCGTATCGTGGTTATTTAAGTGTGCAAGAGATGGCAAGGGGGTGAAGTGTTGTATTACACATCACAGGAATAGAACGTCACTTGGAATCCCGATTTCACACGTCCACTAACATAACCAATCAATATTAGCGCATGAAGCAAACAACCGGAGTGAAGCGTGCCGATTCGCTCTCATTAGCCCGGTCGCTGCAGTCCCCAGCACACACTGCTCCCTGCTATTCACAGCATGCTCGTTGGCTGTGCGAAACCACCTGCTCGCCCACTCACTCACCTGGCCGCGCAACCAATTGGAACTTTCTGCAAGTTCACCTAAATTTTGATTGGTCAAAAACCGCATTAGTCATGCACTACCCTCGAATTCACGCACACGACTAGGTTGAGCAATCTAGCAGACAGTCATGCCTCCCCACTTTCTCCGCTCTTCTTGGATGTCGGCCAAATTCAACGCGGCGGCCTCGGCGTCGTCTAAGACCGCATGCCGACGGCTTCAGCAAGTTCTTGAACCCCACGAGTTCATGATGAACCCGTAAAAACTGGGCGAAAACCCAGCGAACCGTGTCAAAAAGGCACCGCAGCGTCAATTTTGGCGTCGGATTATACAGGTGCTTTCAACGAACCACAAAGACAATACAAGGTCTCCATGCACATCTTTTAGACTTCATTTGTTATCGGTGAAGTCTGATTGGCCAATGATGCTGAATACCCAGACCGAAGTAAAATAAGGTCGTCAGATCCGCTAGTCTCCGATACACAAATCCGTGCTACAAGTACTGAGTGGTCAGAATTTTTACACAAAACTAAAATAATCGCCACACAGACTAGAATTACGACAGCATGAATGCTAGAAGAAAGGCGTTTCACACGCAGTTCAGGAGTGGAGTTTAGGAAGACACTAAATATAGAGACAGAAGTAACAATAAAGGCGCGAACCTTCTTGAAGAAGTTTGGCAAGTACTTCATGGCGTTGGTGCGAACACACGCAATGTTCTGGTACTCTCCTGGGTGGTTGAGGCGAAGAGCCTTAATTTTTGCCTAAAATCAACACGCAATAAGTCAGCCAGCCTCTTGGATTTGTTAAATGGCTGTATTGGCGGTGAGATTTGAGCAGGTCTCGCCTCACCTGAACGTAATCCACCACTTTAAGACGAATCTCCAAGCCGACAGCCCGGGCCTCGGGGAATTTCGTGGAGAGGCTGAACAGGAGACCACCGTATCCGCAGCCGATATCGACCATGGTCACTGGGGGGTGGGGATTGCCGTCGAAAAGACCGCCCCAATCGAAGGCCTCGGGTTGCACCGGATAGGGGAAGGAGTGATCGGACCAGGGGTTGCAGTGGGCTCGTTGTCGATAGAGACGCTTTTGTGGCAGCTTCACCGGTTCATCACCGCTACTGGGACGTTTGCGGTCTTGGGTTTCTGGTGATTTCTCTGAGGACATTCAGACTGGAAAACAAACAACCGTTAATAGGCAAAAATTATCGATTTCGTGTCTTTGACTTGAGCCAACCGCAACAGGACAGCCTCGTCTAACATCCAGTAAGACGTGCCCAGGAGAGAAACGATTAATGAGGGTTGTAACTGCGATTGGCTGATTCTGACCCCTTCTGTAGCCCCGATTAATTAAGCGATTGCACGATCACACTTCGATGCAACTCAGCCTATGATGTGATCTGTACGGATTCGTTAAGATTGATTCACAGTAGTTTGACCGAAGTGGTTATCGAGTGGTGTTGGTGTGTAGTTTCACAAAATCACCAGCAATTTCAACCGAAACATTGGTAAGCTTAACAGAATACTTTTCAAAAATCAATTCTGGCATGAGTGCCCTTCTAAACAGGCAAGGTGTGATGTTTAACGAATGCCGCCAACACAAAACGCAATCCACGACGTAGATGCGATTCGTCAACGATTCTACAAGACACGCTTGGATGCAAAACCAGACAGTCCAACAGCCAATCAGGGAATGGAGAGAGAAAAGAGTTTATTTCACCGTTTGAAAATTGCAAATAGACAAAAAATGGCCATGAGAACAGCGAAGAACTTGAGCATGAAGGCGCGTCGCGAGGAGACGTAACGCAGGAATTCCGCCAGTTGGTCGTGCGCGAAACTGACATTGAGATTGGCGTCCTCGAGGTTGGAGTCGATGCGAGCCACTAGGTCGCCCTGCTCCTTAACCAGGAACGAAAACTGCTGGTAGATCTCGCCGAGCTGGACGATGGTCGCCTCGGTGTGGCGCAGGGCTGCGGAGTTGTCGCGTTGACGAACCACCATCTGTTGGGTGCTGCTGGGTAGAAGCAGGTGCGACTGGTCTTGCACGATGATTGGAGTTTCGTCACGCTGAAATACACAGGATGGCGTTGAAGTGACGAGAAACCGCGCCATCATCGCAACGACTGCGTATTGCAGATGCGTGAAGTCGCCACTACCTCGTTAATATTAATAAGATTTCCTCGAAGAAGATCACTGGCTTCGTGTATTCATTTAAACGAAATGGTCTGAGAAATTGATCTGACCTTGAGGCGACTTTTATCATCATCATTGATAATAGTGGCCAGCTCGAAGGCTGTCATTGGCTGTCACTGGACCAATGAAATAGCACTATCAAGACCTCAAAACACATAGGGTGTATAGTTAGCTAGGACAAACTTATGTTTCGTTTTGGGGATCAGGAGAATCAAAGATTCACGCAATTGAGAACATTATTTCCACCATGAGAATACATAGCCTCTCAATGCAAATAACAGTAATACGCCGGTAAATGTGTACGTGCCAACATCAATAGAACAGGAACAACCACTGATACTGGCTACAGACAAGTCGCAATTGCCTACTCTAAGAGGTTCCACAACTGGTATCGCCTGTTTTGTGTGATGTGAAGAGGGCGGACGAGGTATCGACGAGACCAGTGAGGTTGGAAGGGGTGGCATCACTGCCGATGTGGATATTATGGGTATAGAAGATTCCTCCGTGTCCGCCAGAGTGCCCATGACAATTGCTTTATTCGTTTCCATGAAATCCCGTAGGTGCATTGACAGATCCGCCAGACGAGACTCCTGTGACGATACCAACGCCCTGACGTGTTTGCAGACCTGTGGATGACTAGAAAATTCCTGCTGGACCTGTGTAGACAGTGCGGCTACACGCTGCAAGAAGCCGCTGATCGCGACCACCTCGGGTTGGAGTTTTTGTGCAAGGTTGGAGATGCTAGTGGCGAGTTGGGAATCGGGAGGGGAAGATGTATTGTAGCGATCCGTCAGACTGACAAGTTGGTCCATTTTAGCTTGGCACAATGTAAGGCTGACGGAGACCTGCTTTATGAGTGGGAGAAATTGTGTTTTGAGAAGAGTCGGCGCAAAGTAGGCCGCGACTGCTCCCGGTTGGCTTACGCGGGGCTTCAGAATGACACGACCGGACATGACTTTTTGGTGCAGCAGCTGAGCGCATTTTAATAGCTCCACAGAACGGTCACAGTAGTCTGTTGCCATTGCTTCTTTCACATTTATAAACACAAAAGTTGTTCAGTTCAAAATGGGCCTGTGATAAAAAAATAATAATTACTTGAATTCGTGGATTAAATGATTGAAAACTACATCATAGTTCATTAGGAGACAACTTTCCAAAAGGGACAGCATCATTATATTACACGCAAACAAGATATTCTTACGGAGGAATTTTCCACGACGTGAGGGAATTCTGTTTGAAATGTATTATTATTCGAATAGACTAAAGTCCAGAAAACGACAAATTCCATCTTCTGTAACAGAAGCTGGCTTCAGAAGTCGAAATAGAAAGTCAATAATAACAGTAATTTTAATCACATTTGCGAAAATGAAAAAAAAGCAGGACCGACAGATAGGCGAAAAGTTAAACTTGAAAATGCGCGTACGGGGGCTATATATATGTTTGCGGATAAAATTTAGGCAAAGTTAAAGCGTTACCAAAAGTGCTGCCTAGGAAACAGCCTCACATGGACAAGAATTTAATGAACGAATAAGAAATAAACATCGCATAACAGCGAAAATATACCAATTATCCCGAAACACTGTTTTTAAAAACCCACTTTTTGACGGATGCTGGTCAACACAGGTTACATTAAATCAAAATTTGTCAAGTAAGCAGAGTAAATTAAGACCTGAAAAACGCCACGCAACAAACCCCTACCTTAATTGCACACGAATTTCAGACAAGGCGGCCCAAATTGGGGTGTATTAAAACTATACCTTGGCTAAGTGGTTAAAAAACCTTAAAAATCATAGTCGAAACGTACCAGTACTAAGATACATTAGCCATGTTGTGACACTTTTTTAAACATATTTCTTGCAATTTAATTTAAAAATAAGAAGTGTTAATTGCACTCTGTTCAGTTGGCATTCGATAATTCATCATCCCAAATCGTTATTGTGTTTTTTATTCTTACATATTTACTATTGCTAAACATGATAAATAGTGACCATTTGTTCGGTGCCAATTCTAGGTTATTTATCTAAACCATTGAGTAAACATTTGCCCATGTCTTTTTTATTTCGAATTCAGATTAGGCATTTGGCTTAGTAGTAAAGAGAATAGGTTACATTTTTCACACGCCACTGTAGCCAATAAAAGAAACCAAGCAGTTTGTTATGTTTTACGCCTACCTTTTCAGAAACCCGAAAATAATTAGAAAATGAAATTGTTGATCAATGTGAAACAAGGATTTATCTCATGGCATTATTTAGCTTGGAGCATACTTGCCCATTCCCCACTCGCCTATCTCTACTTGACTCTTCGTTGTCAAATTTACGTTTCTTAAGCTAAATTCGATATTTTATCTCACAGTCAATCAAAATTTTAGACAACTTATTCTAAATAAGCATTACGTCAACTCTCCTATATCACAACTCTCTATATACCACTTTTCAATCATTAAGCAGCCAGCACCCACAACAATGTACACATGACCTAATGACCTTTAACAACAACTGTTATCGTTTGATTTTTTATTAATTGGATATGGCACAATTTATAATCATTCAAAGTGCACAATGACATGACGGAACTCATGCTTCTTGGACAGATCGGCTCAGCTGAGGCCTTGAGGGTAGCTGCATCTGGGTAAATTTATGGTGCTGTAGTCCATAAATCTACTTTGCTGCTTCAGGTGCATAATTTAAATCGACCATTTCAACCCACTGTGCTTTATGTCTTTGTATGCCTCACCATTTTAGTCAAGGATATGCAACAAAATTAACCATAATGCTGGAAAGCGTGAAGCATTTATAGACGAAAAAGAGCTCAAACTAAGGCTACTATACTCGTCCACCAGCATTTACCAACCCCTCTCACCCTTATAACCAATTTGTCTCCCTCAACGGTACGGCACCACCCTTAGCCTATTTCTCAATGAAGTTTAAGAAGCTTCAAAAACGCCCTACGATGTTTTCTAAGCCTCTTAGACTCACCGCTGAGCAACCCAGCACCATTAAATCCTGACCATATCGTTAAATTTCGCTGCATTTCTCAGCAAAATAACAAACTCCGTATGTTTACACATCAACGACACATGCGACATGGCCATCATGCTCAGTACGTTCACATACACGAAGCTAAGCTTGCTAGCCCTATCACCATTCGTCTCCTTGCCCATATACTCCAAGTAAGCTACTTCGTTTCGCGGGTCAACATATGCATTCAACTCAAGTTCAGATTTCCGCCCTGTAACACTCATTAATTAAGCACATCAATAGCGTAGACCATGCACTCACAAATTGACACAATCACTCTAATGCATCACATCGGCGAAAATGTCGTCTTCACCACCTAACACTACGTCAAATTCATGCGTCCGCTACAGACGCTTATTCCATATTCACATCCTAAACTACTTGTAAGATACCATCAAAAAGGTAATAATGTCATCTTTTGTGAAGTAAGAAGGTAAATACGGGGAATCTCACACACGAGACAGCCCATCCCAAAACACCTACGACCAACCGCCTCCAATCCTATGTCAGCAAGATCAGACTCACATCTTATTAGCTGAACTGAACACACACCCATTTGCTTATCAAACATTCATCTTGACAACATGCTTACATCCATTCTGCCTATGTCTACTACGACATTTACAGACTCCAGCTCATTACATTTGACGCAACCACAGACTACGAGTCGACTTCATTTAATTTATCAAACGTAAAATATTACAGTGAGAATATGGAAATGGTAATAGAAATTCCAGGGCTCATTCGCTTCGAAATAGAAGAAACCTTATTTGCATACTCCAGACGCAGCCTCAAACTCAGCCCTGCGAAAAAATGTATACAAACTTCCACCTGCCAGGAGTGCCTTTACGATGACGACGAAATCGAGGACATCAGAAAAATCTCCTATTCTGATGATTCTGGGATCGTAAATCACACACGTGACCTCGTCCACGCAAGTTCGACAGCACCGCCAACATTTCGGGAATGCTCACTCATTCACTTCATCAACAAACAAATTTGCCTGTTCCAAAATTCGCAAATGACAATTGGAAATTCAAGCGGGAATTCCACTCAACTTGACCACTTCAAATACAGCGACAGCAAGCACGCAAATCCGCTGGCCGCAGCACCAATCGATATTGTCGATTTCATTCAAATGAAATTTGAAGTGACGTCGCGCTCAGCAACCACCGCCTCATTCGCTTATTACGCCGTGCACGGAAACGTGATGGGACAAGCTGCGTCAATTCGTTGGGATAGAACACCTCTTACCAATGTATGCAAGTCAGGCTTCACAGGCATCCCAAAACGAAGCCTGTTTGCAAACTCCAAACGCCGAAGCAAGAATGAGGAGTCCGGGGTGCCGTTGAAACAGACAGTACCCCGTAAACTTACTCGTGTGAAGAAGTCCATTCACACTCCAATCTGCCAGGAGTGCCTCTACGATGACGAAGAAATCATCAGAGAAGTCGGCTCCTCTGATGATTCTGGCACCTTGCACGAGGAATAGGACTCGTTCACAAATGTAACATTTCGCACGTAAGTTCGCCTGCACCGCCTACGTTTCTCACTTCTTACAAGTTAGAGCAAACTCCCTCAACAGTTCTTGTCTTCTTTTAGCTCTCTGATTTCCGAGCTGTCACATTGTCAGGCAGCCAACTAAGCTTTCAATACATGGCCACGACCTTAGTCTATTAATCCCATGTTAACAGACCGGCGAGGGTATAAGATTAGAAGGAGAATGGCGCATCACATGCCTTCGACGCCACAATCA